ATTTTCCTACAATTTGTGGCGGTTAAATCTCTCTTAAAATGATAACACATCTCTTCTCCTAAAATCAATCAATCAACTACCCTAAACCCGTAGGAACTTTGACCATAGTCAAAGAACTCCTTAAACCCTTTAGGGGAACTACAAATACTCTAATTCTACTCCCGTAAGGATATGTAGGCATAAGATGCGACATCTTATCGAGTATACTTAGAAATAAACCCCTAGGTCTTTCAACCATTAAGCGGATAAACCCTTAGCAATAAACAAACATAAAACAAGAGGTTCCTGTAGAGTACTACAGAAACTTAGGATGCTAGCACCTTCCCTAAGTTTAACCAACCCCCGAACCTAAAACTCTCTAAACCTTGCATTTGCATTGTATTATGGGAATTTCGATCTTTATCCCTTCCTTTGGACAAATCAAAGTTCGGTTGCAAATGAATTAAAGATTCAAACTAATCAATAGTTTGGTATCCGATTTTCACCGCGACAGGTAGTTATCTGATGACGTGTCCCGCGTAGGGGACACATGGAGGACGTAGAGGAAGTGTGTGAGCTTCCCAGTCAGAAAGGTCTTCTACTCGACGCATGTGTCTGATTGAAGCCAGTGCCCGACAGAGGAGAATTGGGTCTTGCTGGACCTCATCAATATAACATTGAGTTGGGCCTGCCCGACTGAGGGGCAGGTCCCAGCCTAGTCCAGAACACTAACCTTTTTTTGTTTGTTTTATATCATATTCAAAATCATTTGGGTTCAATATTTGATATTCCCCAAGATAAATGAAATGAGGATCCCTGACATTTGTTCTTCCCTAATATATATTCCCCCTCGGTTTTGGTCATAAAGCGAGAGGTGTATGACGCTAGTTTTGAAAATATAAAAAAATTATTGTTGGGGATCGAACCAATGACCATTCCAACTATCCTTCAGTTATTCTAAAATTGGTGGGTAAAATGGAGAGTTTTCATAACGCCCTCAGTTACCTCACCTCTCTAATTGAGGTTAAATTAACTTCACGTCCGAGGTTTTTTTAGTAATGTAGAATTGCCGGCAGGCTGTTAGGTTGATCATGTATGTTAAAATGGTAACAAGTGAGGTGTTATTTAAGTTATGGAAGATAGGTATGACTTAGAGTCTGTCCCCTTGAGAGAAAATATTTTTATAGGGGTCTATTGGACCTAGGGTTCTCTCCTCGTACGTGGTCTTAACCCATCTCCTTTTACTAAGTTATTGACCACATATCTTCTATGAGTCAGTGGAGACTCTCTCTTACATAACTCCCACGTTTGAGGTGCCCCTCGAGCGAGTCCCTTAAATCCCGCTTGTGCAACACAACTATGGGGTGAGGGCGCCCTAGCCTAGGATTTTAACAAATAAAACACTACAAATTTTAAATTTAAAATTATTTTACAAGCTGAAAATAATTTCTCGATTAATTTAGTGACGTTTTCATAATCTCCAAATTAAAAGTTTGATTTCTGAGGTTGGATACAATTTTCGCCTTTTTGGCGCGTAAGTGGTATCTCGTCGCTCCTACTTTCGTAGTAAGACTTTATTTTTCAAAATAGAAAATTCAAAACACCCTATTAATTCTAGTTACAATTAAGTATATATGCGATTATCACAAATTTCACCGATGAAATATTCCTCGTGTTTCAGACTCTAAAGCAGATTACTCAGACATGGAATGAACAAACAAAGCATGCATATAATAAATTCATGATTAAAAGTAGTAGATAATCGAACCTAGAAATAATTGTAACAACTTCTAAAATTAAATATGCTTCGAATGGAGAATTTGATTTGAACATACAAAATTGAAATAGCAGCAGGAAACTAATAACGAAAATTGAGAAATAACATAATTTTTTTAATTAAAACTAATGATAAAATCTAAAGAAAATTTAGTTCAAATATGCTTGGATGCCTTTACAATGAGTTATAAGTCTATTTATAGTGAATTTCGCACTCCAAATGCTCTAGAAACAGTGTAGATTCATAGAGAAGTAGGCTCACATGATTGTAGAAAACGCAAAATATTATGGAATAGGACATCATGACGGGCGTCATGGTGCATGATGGCTTTCCCGTCATGACGTGTGATTCTGGATTCTAGACTCTGGGCCTATGACAGGCGTCATGATGCATGACGACCTGCTCGTCATGGTCTTAAAATATGAATTATTTCTTCCATGACGGGGGCCATGACAATTGTTCTTTTGGATATGACAAGCATCATGGTAGCCCGTCACAACTTCATATTCTTTATTTTCCCTAGATTTTTTGTCGTTTCTTTCTGCAATCAATATCAATCGTTCAGTGCATGCAATTCAAAGTAAAGACACACTTATTGCAATAAAAGAAATGTAAAATGACACTGAAAATACTAAAATTGAGCTAATTAACATAGTGAAAATACTTGTTATCACCAATAGAGAGTAAGAACAACTCTATGGTCAACACTCAACAACGTGGTTTTAACTGGTTTACCTTAGCAACTAAAAGAGATCTTTTCACCTGGTTTAGCCCACAACCAAAACAATTTTTTTTTCAATGGTAAATTACAGTAATGCCCTTATACCAGACCAAAAGACCTCACAAATATAAAGATTTCACTCTCAAAAGCACTTGTCAAATGTGAGAAAATAAAAAGAGAAAGAGGAGAGTGATAGAATGATATTAGACTATGATTTCTAGTTTATTGATAATGAGAAAGGAACCCTATTTTTATAGGACAAAATTTGGCTTTAAAAGGATTCATGAGCCATTTTAATGTTGATAATCAATAAGGCAATCTGCATAATCGATTATCAAGTCCAAAAATGGAATATTTTCAAAAGAGTTGTTGTGTAATCGACTATTAACCCTAATATTTGATTATAAGTCGTTAAAAAAGGAATAATTGTTTATGCCTAAGGGTTAATCGATTATCTAGTGAAAAACTCCTTCATAAACAACTTTTCATGTTCTTAGCTAATCAGCTAGGCACAAAAACATTTTTGGTGACTTTAATAAAAAGAGATATGCTTTCCAAAGGGTTTAAAGTGGGCGTATGATTTACCTTAGTAAAATCAAGTGCCAGTCTTATACCTTTTATAAACACATATCACTCGGCTTAAACTCGACGAGCTTTCATAATTCTTCTTTTTCACAACTCTAAAACTTCTGATTCATTGCCATGTTATCTTTGACTGTAGCACTTCATTAGAACCTGAATCTTCTTCTGATGAGGCTTGGGATAAATTTTACAAGATGGACACCATCATCAGACAACTGCTTAATTAGAGATCTTCACCAACTTCACTAAACGTTGTTTGATATAAGGTGTTGTCCTTTAAGGATATCATTCAGTAAACTTATATCCAAGCTCTTGATCACAAATTGATACCAATAACTGATTAACACAACTTGATCATCACAACAGATGACACCTAGATCTTCAAACACCACCACTTGATCACATAAGACATTTATCTTCAAGCAACATCACTTTATCCAGAGCTTTTAAAATGAGCTAGCCCATATGAACCGTCCCATCAGGTCCGAAAAATTATAGGGCTTGAGCCTTAAAAAATTGCTACCCATATGGGCCATGGATAGTCCCGTTAGGCTCGCATAGCTATACATTTTAAATAAATTATATTAATACTTATATTGTCTTACTTTAAAATAACACGTTGATTTTTCTTACCTCATTAAATTTTTTCTCTATTCTATTCAATCTTTCTCTTTTAAATCTTATAGATTAATATAATCAACACTCTTTCTTTGTATTCTATTAGTTTCTCTTATGCTAAATATTCGAGTATTAATTTATATAATTTAGACATGTGTTGTATTTAAAAATATATTATAGTATTTATAAAAGATAATATAGTACTTAAAAATATATTATGTTTAAAATAATATTATTTTTAATTTCATTTATAATTAATATAATAAAGTTTTATTTTTTATAAAAAAAAAATTCGTTTATGGTCAGGTAACCCGAAGCTCATTTATGGTTGGGCTCCTATAATAATTTTTGAGCTTATATTACGACAGAACTTTTTTGACCCAACCCTTAAAAGCTCGAGGCCCGCCAAAACTGGCCGTTTAGAATCAGGTGACCCATTTTGACAGCTCTAACTTAATCAAACTTTGATCTTAAAGAACCATCACCTGATGACATCAAACCATGATCTCTAAGCACTATCATGTGATTAGACCTTGATCTTCAAACACCATCATTGGATCACAACAGATGATAAAATCATTTGTCATCATCCAAACCAAAAGTACTTCTGAACAAGATTTTTCTAAAAAGCATTCTCAACATCAAAATCAAATAGTTTGTTGCAGACTTAATAAATACACGCACATAGATACACATATGTTAGCTTCTTGAGCAATTCTCACTTCTAATCCGCCATGCTTCTAAGGTTGAATCACTTTATCTCATCCAACTAGGTAAATACATTTACCATTGTTGCCTTTCCAAATGAACTTTATGACTATTTGATTACAAGTGCTAGCTGGAAACCAAGCACTTCCTCGACCTTATCACAAAAAAGAAAGAAGTATGGTCCTCGAGGGGGTTTGGAACTGTAATATCTTCTTCTAATAAGCATTTATCACAAAAAAATCAAGAGAGCAAGCATGAAATATATAAAAGACATTTTTCCTAAAATACTAAGAATCTAAGAAAGAGAAGAAAGAAAGAACAAGCATTGTCTATCATACATTAATTCAATTGCTTCACTCATGTGAACATGTCCAAATTTTTTGTAACTTTTCAACTTTTTTCTCCATTTTGAATAATGAATATCTGAGTTTTCCTTGAGACATACCATTTTGTTTCCCTTTACAACTTCCATTATAAATCAATTCACTACACTTACCCTTTTCTCAAGCCACCCCCCATTCATTAAGTTTTTTCTGTATGTACATAGAGACCAAAGCAAACATCAAAATGGTACACCTTAGTCTCTAAAGAACCAGCAGTGCTATTTTCAAGGAGCTATTTCTTCGCATCTTGATCATTGACTTCGACTTTGGATTTCCATTGAGAAAATTTTAGATCATCAGAAGGAACAAAGATATTGAATGCGGTGTCGTTTGCTCCTGCCTTATTTTTCTTTAGATCCTCAATGCCGTTGTAATCCAAATCCTGTAAAATACCGGGAACTCGCATTCCGTCCTTTCCGTATACTCCCATGTCCAAGTCAAACTTTTGTTTCGAGCTTATAAAACCTTTTTCAAGATCTGACGTGAAGGATTCGTCTTGAATATCTTCCTCTTCTGCAACCCATTCTCTGAAATTGATCATTGTTTTTGGTATCTTGGAACAAGAAAGTTCTTTGAAGTTTTCCATTATTCCCTTTGTATATGGATTCTCCTTCTTATCGTAGCGGTACCGGAAATTCTCATAAGTTGTCTATAGGAAAAGAAAAAAGGTCGAATTTAGAAGCATATATGTTCATAAATATTATAATTATGACATTGTAGCCGTCACTTCTAGTATAAGGAAATGAGTTAAAGCATTGACAAGAGAAAGAGAATATACTTGGTTGGTGGAAATCAAGTAAAGATGGAACACGGTTAGGCCACCGACAAACCAAACGGCTATGAAGCAATATACAATGAGAGCAACGGATAGGGCATCTTGTGACATGGATGCCCACAATCTACCTTGTTGTCGAAGAAGGTTAACCCAAGAAAACGAGAAGACGTATATGCACAACAAGGTTGATGATGATATGAACAATATGAAGAATGGATAGTTACGCTGAAATAAACACGATAAGAGGAGAAACTGTTAGATATCAAAACAGATATGAAAAACGCAGACGGAGCAATGATGATCAAACTTACCAATCCAATACATTGACCAACCCAAGGGCAGTGATGATCAAACTTCTGAACACAGTTATTGCAAATAGAGCAATGCGAAGCGCGTGGTGGACGATAGAGCAAACAAGTATCGCAGAACTTCACCTTCACCGTATGGCCATTAACTATCACATCTTTCACTCTCGGTAGTTTGAGGTTCGGGGTTTTATTATTTACCCATTCCATTGATGATGTATTTGTGCAAAAGGATTCCTCTGATTCAGGTAAATGTGTATTCCTAGGGATGATTCCTGGATCTCTACCAGATGTCATGAAGAGAAACATAAAATTCTGCATTCAATCGGTGAAATGAAACGCGTTTCAAATATCACGAGAAAGCTATAAGTACCGATTCTCATTGATAAAGGAAAATTTATAAACTTTACCAACCAAAATTGTGAGGACCGATCCTCCAATAAGTACAAGATGGTTAAAAGTAGTATCTTCATCTTTGATTATGAATAGCATTCTTATGCAGAATGTTATTGCGGGACCTCCGATCAAGAACGACGTCAAAAAAAGAGATGATGCATCCTGACCAAAGACTAGTCTTCCACCAAATAGAAATTTCTATTATGAAAATAAGCTCAATCAGAAATCACTGTACAAGTTCCGTGTCTTTGATATATACAAAATGAAGCAAAAGACAAAAAAAAAACATTTTTATCTCACTTCTAAACACAAAGCAACCCTTATGACTTGCCCCCCAAGTAACAGTATGATCGATGAAGAAACTCCTCGACCATTCAACATCATAAAAAGGATTCTTCAGAATATTCCTTAGTCTACATTAATGAAAAGTTACTACATCTGAATATCGCTTCTTATACCCTATTGGCCTAACTCTTCATCATTACACATTTCAACATTGAAAATGCTCTAAGCACTTTCAAGAACCAAATTTTGAACTTTTCTCTTCACATTCATCAACCTATCCTCCTCAAATACAAATCCAACATCATCCACTAATCAAAAAATTCCTCCGCCTTATCTTATTCCAATCAACAACAGAAAAATCACCTTGAAAAACTAAAATCTTCACTCACCCAGAAAAACTCAAATTTCCTAAGAAATTAAGGCACAAACACATTTCTATATTCACTCAAACTACATATCAAACACCAAACATCTTCAAAGATTTCATTTTTCCAACCCACATTACCATCAACCTCAAAACACTAAAAGAAACAATTTTTTTCGTTTCTATTTTAGCCCTCAATCATATAACAAACAAATAAACCCAAAGTTTTGATTTTGACGAAAGAAAAACAAAAATCAACATGAATACTAAAAAGGGTCTACAAAAAAAACAAGATGAAAAAGAAAAAGAAGTGTACATTGTTTCCTTTCCAAAGTTGATAAAGCCTTCTGATTCTGGGAGGTTCGACTGAGATAGCCACAGAAGGGGAGGGAGAGGAGGCCAAAACATGATTGCTCTTGATACTCATAATGGCCTAAAGAACAAAACTAATGACAATGTTCCTTCTGCAATGAAGTCTCAAAAACACAACATGTGTTGTTAGTTATTGTTGTTGTTGGCATTAAGATTTTTGGTTCTGTTGTTAAATTTCTTTCTTCCCTCTCACCCTATTAGGGGAGAGATCAATTGGCCGCGGTGGTGTAAAGGAAGAAGGGAATTCAATTTCCCTTCTCACTTTCTTTCTTTTTTTTCTTTCTTCTTTTTTATTACAAAGTCATTTTTTTCCAACACCCTCTCTCTTTCCATGAAACAAGCACTTCTCTTACAATCCTTTCCATTCCACCGGTTTTCTCGCACCTACAACTATTTTCGATAACATAGCTAAATAAATACTAACAACTATTGTTTTTTCATTTCTAATAATCTTTCGAAATGACTTGGCATTTTTCACCTTTTTTTTTATTTATTTACTCTTGCTTTCATGTAATAATAACGTTTTTTCAATTTAATAGATACACATTGTGGTTTATTCTATATTTTTCAAGAATTTAATGGATATGTAGGAACATTTACTTTATTTTTAAAATATAATTAATACTAAATACGTCATTTTTCTTAGACATCTGTGCCAAATTAATTAACACAAATTCACTGCATGAAGTGGCAAAACGAGTCGAGTTTGTTTTGCTCGTATTTTATATCAAAATACTTTGCACATTTGAAAACTTTTGTTGCAAAAGTAGGCTTATAGGTGCAATCCACTCCACTCGCATATTTTGCGACACCACACTCATAACTATGTTGTTTATATCCTGTTTTTTTATATGATAAATTTATTTGAAGCTAAAATTTTAGAGAATTTTTTAATGTATCTGTTAATATTTTTAAGCACTTCGAAAAAAATTTTTTATGCTCTCTATTTTTGAAGATACACATCCGAACGTACTATTTTTTTTCTTTACGTTAGATACTTCCAAAGACACGCATACGAAAAAAATTTCGTAGATACATCTCCGAAATCTTATCAAAACAGATTATTTTTATAAAAAAAATTAAGTTTCTTTGGTCACAGATAAAAATTAACTATTGTAGATAAATATAAAATAACATACATCCGTAAATAATATATATATATATATATATATATATATATATATATATATATATATATATATATATATATATATATATATATATATATATATATATATATATATATATATATATATATATATATATATATATATATATATATGAGAAGTAATATGTCATAATCATAAAAAATAGTACATAAATGTCATCAAAAAACACATCACAGTCACCACTGTGTGTGCTTGACAACATCTGCATCCCCTCCTCTACATATGCCTTTGTCGCCTCGTCTGTCTCTACCGCCTCCTCAATCTCCTGGTCTGCGTCCTTGGTCATCGATGTCATCCGTCCTGGTGCGATACCTGCGATACATAAGTGCCCCATGTGTCACCTCAATGATCTCATCCAATACACGTTTGTGGTCAGACCGCTCAGGAAAGAAACCGGCGACAATGCCTGACCGCCCCATCTCCACTATCTGACGACAGCGAGGCAGGACATCTTGAGTGTGGTCCAACTAAGACTGCTGCTCCTGTAAGATCTCTTGATGAGCTGGTCTGGGAGGTGACCCCTTGGCAGTGGACACCATGTAGGGGTTTAATACAGTGAAGAACCACATAATGTAGCCATCAACGCAGCTCCAGTCTATCGATGCTCTGGTCGCCCGAGCCTCGTCAGATACCATGTGCCCCTGGTAGTCGACATAGATCTCGTTTATCTGCATACGAGTCAAGTCGAGAGGGGCGGAGACATCTGGGTGTCTGGGAATGGTCTGAGTGTAGTCGAACTGCCATATGACGCACTCGAGCAAATATGGAACAATGATGGTCGAATTGCATACCAACCATCTTGAGAATAGGGAGATGTCATCAAACGGCACGTCACACGGTGATCAGCATAGACGTCGTACCGGATGTCCTCAGCAGCCATGCGATCGATATAGACTCTGTAAGGGTCGACCGCCAGGTTCTCCATGCGCGGAAGAAAGGCACGGGCACGCGACATCTCCTCTGTGTAATTAGGTACACTCCCCGACCCGACAATCATGGGAAAGTGCTGGAATATCCAAGCCTGACATAAAAATAAAAAAATCATGATCAAGCATTATCTCGAATATAGAATGAAAAGAAATTAAAAAAAGTCGAAGGATATAAAATTGTTACCACAAGTAGTGTCACGCTACCTGCCACAGTCCTGGTCTTCCACAAGCATCCCTCTCTCAGCCTCGAATATGTGTAAGCCATGGTAGCCGCCCCCAGCTGTACTCATGGATCCATGTGGAATCCAAAAAGCACCTCAGGTAAGCGACATCCATATATGTGGAAGAAGTGTCCACAAATAGCTGAGTGCCAACTAAAAATAGAAAATAAAATCTCAACACACGTTGTCTGTGAGTCTCAACCTCAACTGGATCACCATCTGCCTAGCGTGCAGTAACGAGCACCTTACCAAATCCATGGGTTAGAAAGGAGAACCTGAGATGAGCCTCTCTGGTCTTATCCACCTCGTCCAGCGCATCAAGTGGATCAACCCCAAGCTCTTCGACCAACATCTCTCTCGCATCCTCTTTCGTCATCCTACCATGACAAATGAGGATACCCCTGATCGATATATGTAACAGACAGGAGATGTTGTCCAATGTGATAGTGAGCTCGTCGTGCGGTAGATGGAAGGAAGATGTCTCAGGGTGCCATTTCTCCGTAAAGCCCATCAGCATCCCGTTGTGGATCACGCTGTAATCGATCTCACAAAGGTCCTTCAAACCAGAGGCAACAAGGACATCCTAGAACCAAGCCTTTTGTGGCTGCTCCAAAGATAATATCTTCCGTCTGTGGTTATAAAACTTCTGCGGATGACGAGTCTAAAAATTTCATAAATAAGAAAAAATATTAATAAAAAACAATGGTACAAATTATAAATTTCTAATGAAAAAAAAGAAAAGAAATAACATGAGTAATGTTACCTCTCCATCCCATACATGTCTGAAAGTATGGTCGATGTACCCTGTTAGCAGGGACATATTTGAGGGACCCCCTAGGAAACTCTTAGGCTCATTATCGTCGTCGTCACCAGCATCCTCCGGTGGTGGGTCATCACCCTCTAAAGGTGGCACCGGAGCAACATCATCAGCAGGATGAGGAACAGGAGTATCTCGACGAAGCCTGCGGGATGACGGGGCCTGTGATGAACCCTCAGCTGAATCCCGACGCCTCCGGGATGAAGAAGTCGATGATGGGGTAGGATACGAGGTCGAGGGAGTATCCTGGACATGTGATGAAGAAGGTTGTCCAATAGGCTATCCCTCAATTGTATCGGCCTCGGTAACGGTGGTCTGACTCCGCTCGCGTCTCATAGATGCATGCTGCAAAATCCGTCCAAGTCGCAATCTATCGTCTCTGTCTGCCATAATGTCTGCAACGGAATAACCAAGAAAAAACAATTAGATACAAATAAATCAAAAAAACAAAAAACAAAAAAAATATTTTATACTTCCGGATATACACACACAAAACAGGTTCCGTAGATGTATCTACGGAAGAACCTAAAATTTATAACGTTTGGGTTGTTCTGGAGTTGCATCTACGGAGGTGCGCTAATGTTAAATTGTTCCGTAGATGTAGATCCAGAACAACCTGCAACTCAAAGGTTACGGCAATGACGTCCCCTACCTATGCAAATGTGATTTTTGAAGCCCTAATCGTCTGTTTCAGCCAACAAACAATACATAATTGTCTCTAAACTATGTTTCTAAAACTATCTAAGGATTTCTACCCCTAAAACTATATTTTAACTCATTTACGGGAAATACTCAAAAATACCTTGGAAACTCGAAAGCTTACCAATTATATCGAGCTTTGAATGTGTTGGTGTTTTTTGATCGTTGAAATGAACGCTTCTTGTCGAACTTGATTGAAAATAATGAAATTTGGTGGAAAAAGTTTTTTTGAGTTGAGAGTTTGAAAATGAGAAGATGAAAAATGAAGGAGGAAGGAGAAGAGACTCTAACGCGCATGTATTCTAATTTGTTCCAGAACTATATAAATGAAAATCTTTCATAGATATAATTCCGAAAAAAAACTAACGTTAAATATAAAAAAAAAAATACGTCCAAAAATACATCTCTTACAATAAGAGAATATTTTTGAAAACGCACATGATGCATAAAAATTCCAAAGAATAGGATAAGAAACTCTCACATTTCAAATTTTAAACCGGCACATTAATTATGTCCAATCTATCTTATATTTTTACAAGAACTATGTCCTTTCTATCTATTTTTATATAAGAAGCCTTAACTAGAACATTTTTATATAAGAAGCCTTAAACAGAACTTAGACGTGGACTTTTTATATAAGAAGCCTTAAACAAAACTTAAACGGGAGTCCACGTCGATTTTGTCAACCTACTACCAATTCTGGTTCTTTTTTATTTTTATAAAATTGTTATTAAATTTATTTTTATTATAGTACTATTACAAAAGTGCAGGGTTGTTTTGTAGTTATAAAAAAAGGAAGTAAAATATCCGTAATGTCATTGAAAAACTAGAAAAATTCTTAAATAAAAACAATCATAAAACTTAATTATTCACACGACCAATCACAATTTTTTATTAATTAAAAAATAAAATAAATTTTTCTCCTCCTTAGTAAAACTATTGAATAAAGATATCATATGAAAAATGTTTTATTGTCATATCGGTCAATTTTTTAAAGGTATTTTTGAACAAATAGAAGAAGAAATTGAAACACTCTATTAAGATATATTATGACCTTTGAGATTCTTTTGAACTTTTATTTCTAGTTTCAGTTTCAAAATGAAACTTTTTTAGCAGAAAGAAGACCAAACGTTTGAAAAAACTGATTTTCCAAAAACATAAAGCCATAAAATTACAGAAAGATTCAAGCTTTTCCATGGCATACAAAAACGGGAAAAAAA